TACCTTGCCTCTTCAAAAAAATTATGGCTTGTGCACTCCACAGCAAGGTAGAGTGACGTTATTAAAACCTGGGATTTTTCTGCTGTAATATAATTCAAACACCAAAAGTACGTTGGTGCAGTTTGTAGTTACACTTTCTCTGATTCTAAAAATGATAATTTTGTTGAAGGATAGTGGTGACTAACCACTAAACTCACATGTATGTCTATGAACTCTATAGCCATAGAGAGCAAGCATTTCAGTCACCCCCTCACTAAGTTTTCTTTATGTTTCAGTTCTAAATTCTCCTCGACTTGGATTAGTGGGTGAGACAATAGCTCATGTAATTATCAATGCCAATGATGATGCTTTTGGAACACTTCAGCTTTCAGCTTCAACTGTGCGAGTTGCTGAAAATTATGTTGGACCAATCATTAACGTGACAAGAACTGGGGGAATATTTGCAGATGTTTCTGTGAAATTTAAAGCTATGCCAATAACTGCAACAGCTGGTAAGAAATCAGAATATCAGAAGTATGCAATCTGTGTTACAGTGGAAAGAACAAACTGTATGCTTTGAGCGGACAAAGCAAACAAGTGTGTATTGAATGCACTATTGTATAACAAGTACAAATGAAAAAAATAGTGAGACATTTACTAACTCTGCTTAGCAAATAAGAATCCAAGCCCTACGGGAGAGATCATGCATCAGCTTTTAGAAAGATCTGAGACATCGTCACTGAAGAATCTAGCAAGAGAAATGAGTGAGGGAATTGGGGTATTTGTTTCCCTAGTAGCCCACCACCTCTTAAAAAAAAAAAAATTATAGTAGTATATGTAGCTACTGTTTAGTCCTGTGTACATTCAACCCACCATGCATTGTTTAGGTGAGCTTGTTGGAGAGGAAGTGAGAGCTGGGGACTCAGCTGTAAAACAAACAGGCAAAAAGAAATCAAAACCCAAGAAGACCTGAAGTTTAAAAATGGGAGGTTAAGTTCTTCAGTTGGTCCCTGCTATAGAGAAGGTACATAAAGAAAAGAGCAAACTTATGAAGTGTGCAATGTTAAAACCACTTAGACAGTTATAAATCAAACCCACTGTATTTCAGCTGTGTCTGAAATTGTCTAGGTGGGTGGTACATGCTCTGAGAACTGGTTTTTTAGTTTCCTTTTTATGTAACAGACTTTTCTAAATAAGTGTGTAGCTAGATTGATGTCAGAGTATTCTTTCAATTAGTTTCTGAAGCAGAGCTGTTATCTAGTGTATCACAGTTTATCTAGACATTCTTAGAGACAAGTCTGCCTAAAGTGAGGTCCATACACAAAATGTGCCCTTTACTAAAATCTACTTTGACAAAGGTGCTTCTGTTCACTTTTATCTCTTGGAAAGCCAGAAAGCAATTAGAAATCAACAGCAGAAACATCTTGGTAGTGTGAACTTGTCAATGGAAGACAATAATGCACCTTTTGTAACTACCTCTTGCTCTAACAGTGCAAACTCTGTTTTGACCAAGCCAAGTTTTATTTTAATCCATCCAGATATCTAAGAGGCAATGGGAAACAAAAGGGACTGTGTTGTCTGAGTCTGAAGGTAAAGAAAAAAAACCCATAAAAACAGAGGAATACGTGTGTAAGAAAAAGAAGATAAGTATTACTGATGATGTTCAATACACTGAACCATAATGCATTAATATTCTGTGTTTTTTATTGTTTTTTTTTTTTCGTCTACAAATCTAGGTGAGGACTACAGTGTAGCCTCATCAGATGTTGTCTTACTAGAAGGAGAAACAAGTAAAGCTGTGCCAATTTATATAATTAATGATATCAATCCTGAAGTTGAGGAGTCAAATTATGTTCAGCTGCTGAATCAAACAACGGGAGGAGCTTTGCTTGGATCTTTGACTAGGGCAATCATAATTATTGAGGCTTCTGATGACCCTTTTGGATCCTTTGGTAAATGGGTCTTATTTGCATATTTCCTCTCTTCTGTTAACATTTTTACTGCAGATTTGTGGGTGAGCTGTTACTGGGTAACTGAATAAAAACTTTCAGAAGTCAGCTGCTGAATCAAACAACGGGAGGAGCTTTGCTTGGATCTTTGACTAGGGCAATCATAATTATTGAGGCTTCTGATGACCCTTTTGGATCCTTTGGTAAATGGGTCTTATTTGCATATTTCCTCTCTTCTGTTAACATTTTTACTGCAGATTTGTGGGTGAGCTGTTACTGGGTAACTGAATAAAAACTTTCAGAAGAAAAAGAGGAAGCCTGGATGAAGACAGTAAAGGAAAAGATAAGATAAACTAAATTAAAACATGCAATTAAGGAATAATGATGCTTAAATATAACAAAAAACTATTCTTTAGGCAGTTGATATAGCAGGAGTTTGGAATCTCCCAATAGAAACAGATGGATTGTAGTTTAGTTTTTTATTTTATATCTATTCTAAGTGCTGCATTTCTGCAATAGGTTTAAACAAAAATCTGCATATCTGTTGCTTAATTACTTTGATATCTTTGCTTTACTGGATAGCAGTAAAAATCAAATTTAAAATTAATCAAAATTAAATTTAAAAAGCAGATTTAAAAATCTGGGGAAATTGAAAAGTATAAAGAGAAATTAAATTACATTCTCTTATTTTCTGTCAAGTACTTTAGTTTTTCTTCTATCTGTTATTATCAATAAAACGAATTGTGTATACTTTCCAAAGTTAATTTCATTACACAGGTTTTGAGAAGGGTTTTGGTGATTTCAAAAATTTAATGATATTTTAGAAATCTATCTTTTTTGTTTGTTGTTTATTTTCTTTGTGTATTTTTTGCTGCCTTTTCCTTTGACTTACCCTTTTCTCCCTTCAGTACCTTACTTAATTCCTCTTCTTCCATTTTGTCAGTAGAAGAAGGTAGAGGAAAGAAAGAAAAAATGTCAAAAATAAATAATTCCAGATGGGTAATTAATTAACTTAATTCTTAAAAACTAAAAGTTTAATACAAGGAGGACTTTTCTTGAGACAATTTTAAATGGAATATGTTGACTTATTTCTTCAATCAGTGACACGAAAGCTGCTAAAGAGTTTTCTTGCTAGGAATAATTATGAAATTGTCTCCTAAAAGCTTAGAAACAGCTTATGGTTAGCCCCAAACAACAGGTATGTTGGAATAAACTTTTTGGATGAAGGCTCAATTTTCATGCCAATTTCCTCTGCAGATGAAAATATTAATACTGAAAGTTTGCTTTTAAGTTTCAACCTCTGCTAGTAAATGCAATCAAGTGAAATAAAACTATATACTTCAGGAGTTGATATATTTACTTTCAGTTTCATTGTTAGTGAAATGCATCTCTCTGTGCTGTACTTCAGTTTTTCAGATTACCGAATTCACTGTGGAGGAGCCTGACTTTGGATCAGTAACCATGAATCTGCCAATAATCCGCAATGCTGGGACACTCGGTAATGTTACTGTTCAGTGGGTTGCTACCATTAATGGAGATCCTGCTGATGCTGACTTGCAGGTTGCCTTGGGTAATATTACTTTTGTCCCTGGGGAAGCCATTCAGATGTTGCTGTTGGAAATCCTGGCTGATGATGTTCCAGAAATAGAAGAAGTAAGTAAAGCAGTTATACCTTTCTTGAGTAGTATTAGAGTTTTAACTTGTTATAGAAATGTGTGCAAAGAAAAACAAGGACTGTTCTGGAAGGAAGGTGCAAGAAGTTCAGATTTTACTTTGCTTGTGATTATTGTCAGAAATACCAAAAATTGTTTAGCTGCATTATTTCTTTTTGTTTTTTTTTTTTTTTTTTTTTGAGTTTGTGTCCGTGTAGAATTAACTCAGGCCTCCAATGGTGGTGCTATCGGGTTAGATGGCGTGGCAAATATTATAATACCTGCCAATGATAATCCTTATGGCACAGTTTTCTTTCATCAATCCTTATATCGAATTCAGGAGCCACTAGAAAGAAATTTGCTTGCAAATATAACAGTCAGGCGAAGGTTTGTATAATGTTTGCTTTATTTATATCTATTATTTCTTTCTTGTTTTTTTTTTGTCTCGGCTATAATTTCAAATGTCATGCTCCTCTTGTATAAGTATTTGCATGAATTTCTTGATCTGCCAGCTCAATGCATTTTTATTTCATATACATTGTTTTTGAACTAGATGTCTGCTTCTTAGGAGTGTACATAAAGTACTTAAATGTAACATACATTGTAATGTACAGTGTAAACCTAATGTACATAGTGTACTTGAAGTTTCATTTTGCCTATTTAATCGTCAAAACATTTAAAGCTTCACAACAGCCTGCTACTGTGATTTGAACTGGAGGACAAAATGGGTTGACCCTTGTATGACGGAAAGAAACAAGAAAAGGAAAACAGGTTTTATGTATGTGATATGATATCCTGAGGACACCTGGGAGGAAAGATGACCAGGTTGGACAACACAGGCTGTTTCTTCCTTGCCAGCCCTAAGACGACTAAATTAATTCCTAGAAACAAATGTTCACAAACATGTCTTCTTAACAGACTGCTACCCAAGCTATAAATAATCAAACTTGCTATCCACAAAAAATGGCAACTGAGTTATTCCAGTACTAGCTTCAAGGGAATCCACTTTAATTAGCTATTTGGAACTTTTCAGCAATTCAGAAAGGGCCAGTCAGTTTTGTTCACTTTTATTCTTAACCCAGAAACATACAGAATATTAGACTAATAACTACATTACATTTTTATTTTAACATTACATTTTTATTTTAATGTCTTTTAGTGGGGGAAGGTTTGGTCAGCTGCAGATATTTTACAGCACTTCTGAGACTGACGTTGTAGCTCTTGCCATTGAGCAAGGTCAGGATATCCTGGCCTGTTACGAGTCTCCTGTACAAGGAATTCCTGACCAACCATCCAAGACCAGAGTGAATGTGTCGTCGGCAAGTGACCCACTGTATGCCTGTGCAACCCAGTGCCTAAAAGAACAAGCATGTTCAGCCTTTACATTTTCCAGTGCCTCTGAGATTCCTCTCTGCCTTTGGCTGACATCAGAGATCGGCCCATTAACTAACACTTCAGGATTCTGGATCTACAAGAAAAACGTCACCAGTGCATCCGCTCTCTTTAGCACAAAAGCCATCGCTGGCAGTGATTATGAATCTATTACAAGACAGTGGGCCATAATGCTGGAAGGGGAAGAGTTTGCAAATCTCACAGTTACCATACTCCCTGACAGTCTGCCAGAGTTGGATGAGAAATTCACTATATCCCTTCTGAAAGTTGAACTAATGAACATCTCAACCAGCTTAAAAAATCAACCAACTATAGGACAGCCAAATACTTCCACAGTTATCATAATGATGAATGGAGATGCATTTGGAGTATTTAAGATCTACAGCGTAAGTCCCAATGTGACAGAGGAAGGTCTGTATATTGAAGTAGAAGAACATCCTCAGACCAACGTGCAGCTAATGATACATAGGACAGAAGGCAGCCTGGGACAGGTGACAGTGGAATGGCGTGTGGTTGGTGGAACCGCTACCCCAAACTTGGATTTTGTAGGTTTTGGTGAGATTCTGGTGTTCGCTGAAGGTGAGGCAAGGTTTTGCACTAGCTTCTGTTTTATAGAACTAAAGAAAAGCAAAAAGAACCTGACAAGCACTCAGTCTTCTGGATGTTTTGATAAGTGATGTCTTGTTCTTGGGCTAAACCTCTCTGAATGTTCAGGATACATCTTCAAAAGAATATAGTTCATTAGCATATAGCATTATATTGCAGAACACACACGGTGGTAGTAAAAAAAAAGATGAAAAGCATAAATATCTAAGTATTTTTTTAGGAAATATTGCAGTGTGCATTATAAAGATTATCTTTTTATCAAATAAATAAGGAATAATAATGCTGAAGCTCATTGTTATATCAAGCATTATGAAAATGAGAATCAGGCCTGAGTGGTCTTTTGTTAACCTTCAGTTAGTACAGTACTAATTTTTCATAACGTCTCTTTTTAGATTCTGAGATCATGTTGATTTCATAACATAACATAACAACATATTAAAAAAAAATTGCAAACAGGACGAACAAGTCAATGGCAGACATCACTTAAGTACTACACAACATAACAGATATATTTTATATTTTCAAAGTCAGAGTTGACTGAACAGTTATTTTGAAAGCAATGTATGGGAGTATAGTATAGAGTCTAGTGTGCTAGCTAGCTTGCTAAATCATCTGAACTCAAAAGAATGGTTGCCAGCAGTGATTCTGAGGCTGACATGTAATTACATTAGAGGTTATAAGTTTAGAAAATACAGTTTTCAAAGTATTTTGAAACACAATGTAGCAAGAAATATGTGTATCTATCTTGTAAACTGATATTCTCATAATCATAAAACACAGGTTATGCACATGCACTGAGCAACAGGATTGTGTTCTAAATTGTAATGGATTATAGAGACTGGTAATTGATCGTGTTTGCTGTTTACACTGTCATTCTTTGATAGTCCAGAAGACAAATAATGAACACAATGACAGCCCATTTTAATGCATTCCCTGGCCCAGTAAATATATTCAGATTAAGTCTACGTACTTGTGTATATGGTTCATCAGAGAACTTATGCACTTCGTAATTTTTTTACAAGAATGATATTCCCCTTTTTTAAGTTAAATTTGAAAGTCAGAGAACTTATAATGCAAATAAAAAATTCTAGACATTCTGAAATTATGCCTACATTGTTAATTTCTACATAGTATATTTAATAATTTGATAATTTCATTGCTCTAGTGTAACTTTTCAATAATAATTGAATAAAACTTCATAATGACATTCAGTAACTTCTAGACAGGTAAATAAATAAATATGCTTCATGTCCTTTTTTATATTTTTTAAGTATTTCCTACAAAAGGAGATGATTAAGTCCTTTTAAAAGGTGATTTCCATGCGTACACATAAATATGTATATGTTCTTCTCCTTGTAGGGGAAACAAAAAAGATGGTCACGCTGACCATTTTAGATGATCCGGAGCCAGAGGATAATGAAAGTATCATACTCAGCCTGGTCCATACTGAAGGAGGGAGTCGGATTCTGCCCAGTTTTGACACTGTCACAGTGGTCATTCTGGCAAGTGACAATGTGGCAGGAATTATTAGCTTCCAGACAGCCTCAAGATCTGTTATTGGTCGTGAAGGTGGGTTCTTTGTGTTGAGCACACTCTGTTTAACATTAACTTCCACCTTGGTACTTTCTGTTGGTAATGACTCACAGTGATTGTTTGTATCACTGTTCAGAGAATGCCAGCAAGCAGAGAATAACCACATACTTGGCATGTATTTCTTCGAATTTTTAACTCTTGCAAGCATAGCACTTAAAGGAAATCTGTGGAAAGGATGAGTACACCATTTGTAAAACCATTTTATATATCACCATCTGTGCTTTCCTTTTTTCTGAAGATCATGCCTTGCTTCTATTGATATTGCATTTCAAAGCTCCTTTTAGCATTTCTTGTCTTATTCATTTATACCATATTCCAGAACTCCCATCATACACACCTATTAGTAGTTATGAGCAAATCTCATCTATCAGTTACTACAATTCACTTTAAATCTTCTAGAAAATACTCCCACAGAAAGATTAGGGTCACATTTTCCCTCTTCCTGACTGAATAACCTGCTGTTTTAAAATTTTCTGTTCCTGCTTTTTTATGGTGATTAATTTGGGAATGTAGCAATCTTGCTGTCATTACTCAGTCATGACATTTGAGAAAGAACGATAATAATTAGATATGAACCAAAGATTTCTATTAGCGCTTTAAAAGAGCGTGTTGCATGTTTGATCTAAGGTTTGGTGCAGTTTTGCGTAGCTTAATAATAATGGTACTGACAGTGAATTGCTTGTGGCAGCCTTTGGTGGAACCTCAGTGCATTGCAGTATCGCATATCACATATCACATCTCTCTGACATGTAAACCCATGGGCAGGGAAAGTTAAGAAATTCGCTGTACAGAACTGTGTGCATTGTGTTTTCTGTTTGAAGAAAAAAGTCTTTGTCAACCAAATGTGTTCCGTTTTTTTCCAGTCATGAAAGGACATCACAACCTTTTGTTTTTTATCTAGATATGGTTTGTGTTAATTCTGTGCTAGTGTATGCCCTGTTCTTGTCCTTTATTCCTCCACATTAACAGTTCTGATCCACTTGCCAAACCAGCTTCAATTGGGCAAGCTAAAAAGAGCTGTTAATGAGCACAAGGAGTTAATACAAACAGGCTTATTCCCAAAGGTTATGATGACCCTGAATACTTTCCGCTGGTTAAATATTATTCATAGCATGCTAGCAAATGCTGGCCATTTGGAGCAAAAATATTCTGCTATAGTTTGGAAATTACTTGATTGTAATTCCTCCAGTTTGTGAAAAATAATACATTGTCTTGCAGCAAGAAAAAACAACCAAACTAAGTCACTTTGATAAAAAAAAGGATGAGCTAAGGCCTTTAGATGATTTCAGTGTTTGCATTTCGTTTTCAGTATCATGTTTTTTTGTTCTGAAAACAGAATTTACCAGACATAAATTAAAATATGATTATCTTTTATATTTATTGTATTATTGAACAATTTCTGTCAAGAAAATCCCTGTTATTTTCAAGCTATGCAGGTTATTTATCACCTTATTGAGGGCAAGGGTAGCATTTTAGTACAGGCAGAGGCATGCAACAGTTGTGTGGCTATGACTGTATTAGAGGAAAATGCACTGCAGTAGCTTCAAATAATGTAGAAGAGGAGGATGGCTGAGGCCCCCTTCTTCTCCCTGATAAATGAAATCTAAAGATATGGATTTATTTTCAAGCTATGCAAGTTATTTATCACCTTATTGAGGGCAAGGGTAGCATTTTAGTACAGGCAGAGGCATGCAACAGTTGTGTGGCTATGACTGTATTAGAGGAAAATGCACTGCAGTAGCTTCAAATAATGTAGAAGAGGAGGATGGCTGAGGCCCCCTTCTTCTCCCTGATAAATGAAATCTAAAGATATGGATAACAGGGTTAAATATTAAAAAACTTAAAATAGTGACATTAGCCTAATAACACTTTCAATCTTCAAAAATCAATTAGTATTTGTATTAGTGTTTCTTTATGGATAGGGATACCAAAGATTTTGGTAAAGCTGATCAAGAAACATGGGTCAGTAAATAACTACTTGGGGTCTGTAATTATGATGAATCATACTTCAGGTTTCTTCTTAGTGTTTGGATTACAGTGTAACAGGCTTCTGTATCATAGAATGTTTTGACCCAGTCTTCAGTGAAAATCCATTTTATTACATAATGTACTGAAATAAGCTTTGTCTAAATCGTGCCTTCTGCAATGGTACTAAAGTAACCATTCTTCTGTTAAATACTTATTTGTTTGCAATGGATATGCAAAAATCTCAAATAGGATAGAATGGATTTTAGTGCAGTGTTAAACAATATGATTAATTAGCCTCAGGGGAACTTGTAAACTGGTAGTCTATCCTCAGATATCTGACTGTAGAAGCAGAATCCTTGTGATGTCAGTAAATTTTGAATTCTTTTATTCTCTTAGAAGCAACATGGAACAACTTAAGACAAAGATATGAACACTGGTACATCTCCAAGGCTTAACTGAAGTTTGAAATGTCAATGCTGAATAACATACTAATTCTATTTATTTGAAAATGGGTGTATACAGTTCCTGTATTACTTCTTCACAATTTTATGTTTTAATCAGTTATATTAAGGTCTCTTGAAGTTGTTCATATCTCTGTCATTGGTAGCCAATATACATGCATCTCTCTAATATTTCCTTACCAAAAAAAGGACATGTCTAAAAAATGTTCAAATTGTTCCTGCCAGTTTTAGCTATACAATACCGTCCTGTGATATAATATACTAGAACAGCCAGATAGCATCCTAACTTGATGCTCTATAAATTACGTAATCAGAGAGACTAGCTGGGCTTCTCAATTCTCTATGCCATGGAGCAAGAAGCCACATAACACCACATCTTCTCTTTCACTTTCGTAGATGTATCTCAATGTTTCTCAATAGGTTTGCTTCTAAGCGTGTACATAACACAAATCAGAAGATGGAATTATTCCAGATTTTGCAACAGTGAAAAAAAAATCAAGTCAGTTTATAGCAATACTAAGAAAGCCTTTTTCAGTCAGTTGGCGATGGAACTAAGTTTGTCAGATTTCTCTTTCTGCATTACTAAAATATATTTTGACAAATTTTTGCTTAGTTTTGTTCATTCTTTAGTAAGCAAAAGAAATCTCATGTAGCATTATTTCCAAGCACCTCAGTATTATAGATTTCTGCATATTTCATGTCTCTGAAAGCCAATGCAACACTGTACAGACTCGCAACTTAAATTCCGTGCACTTGAAAAATGTTGTTGACATACAGATGCAATACTTACATATTATAAATAAACATCAGTCCTCTAATGTGAATGTATTACATAATATTACTAATTTTACCTGCTGATTTATTTCATATTGATATAACATGTTAATTTTACATACCCATATTTTAAATATTTAATATTATATAAACTATGTAAATTTTATAAATGTATATAAATATTTAATATTATATAAATTATATAAATTTTCTAAATTTTACAAAGATTTCTAAGGACCTTGCTCTTTTTAATTGAAGTGCCCATTGTTAAATGTTATAAATGTGAAAAACACCATAATTACTTCTTGTCGATGCACATTGTCAATTGATACTGATTATCCCAGAAAATATATTTTAAAAAATTATTAAATATTAATGTTTGATTTTTAAATACTTTATTTTTAAAATTATAAACTATTAAATATTCACATTTTCTGGATATTTTCTTTTCTAACACTGATGATATTTGTAAGTTCAAAATCACATAGATGGAACTTACAGGTAGTTACAAGCATTTTTCTGCATGCACTATGTAAAGTCACAAGACACTACAAATGTTAGAAAAGCGTATATTCCTTGCCAGTTAGCTGTTGTAGTAAATCTATTTGTGTTATAGCTGGTACATACAGCATTTACTATTTCATGTAGTTCACAGACAGATATCGCTCTTATGTTTGTGCATGTTTTGATGGGCATTTACTTTCTAAGTTATCCATCTGTACCAGGTTCCCTCATATTTTGATAGTTCTTTCCAGGAGTGAGCTAAAACAAGAAAAACCCAGGACAAAAGAGTTTAGTTTTTTTTGTTTCAGTATTAAGACAAATGTGTTATGTAACTACTGTGAAGCTCACTATTAAAAATATGAATGTCTTTCCAAAAAATTATTTTGACTGTGATGCATGTTTTTGACTTCTTATTTTTATGATTGATACGTAGGAAAGGAAACCCCAAAATATTACATCTTACCCTTTGTTCCTAGGAGAACAACTGCAATTCCATATTGTAAGAACTGCCCCAGGACTGGGAAATGTTACTGTTGAGTGGAAGATAGTTGGGCATAATGTAAAACAAAATTTTGAAAACTATTCTGGAATACCCTTTTTTTCTGAGGTAAGTCCATAAGCAAAGCTAATGGCTACAGGAGAATACTGTAATTAGAACTGAGCTGAGAAAACGAGTGTGCTTTTACAGCAGCCTTTGTTTCTTGGTCTCATTATTTACTTGCTCCCTTACTCTTGCAGTTCTAAACTGGAGGGACTTTATAATTTTTGATACTTCAACTTCACATTTCTTAAAGGTGTTGTTCAAAATACATATGATACAGTGATATCACTTGTATTTTATACAATAATGACTAATCACTTTATGAATAAAATAAATAGGGGGCATTGAATGCAACATTGCATGTTCACTTGCTGGATGACCATATTCCTGAAGAAAAAGAAGAATACCAGATCATCTTATACAACATCAAAACAGAAGGTAATGCAGAACTATAGCCTGCTATATCTTAAAACTACCATTTAATAGTGTAATATTTTCATATGTATTAATCCTTTTTGAAGGTGTGGGACTAAGCATACTGCAACTGGTATAAACTATGGAAAGTTCATTCACATTTTATTGAAACAGTTTTGATACTTATGTATATGTGTGTATCTACATATATATATATATATACATATACATATACATATATATATAAAAGCCCCCACACTCTTTGCAGTTTTCTTTAATTGGTTTTAATCGTGATTTAACTCTGCCTTTTTAATTCAGTGGTTATTTGCATCCCTTTAACTGAATACAAACTTGAGCTTACTAATGTATTCTGGATACAGTTGCCATGAAATAAGGAGATATTTTTATCTTTTAAAGCAATCTTGTCATGCCACAAGCTGACTTTCTGATCTGCCTCTGAATTCAAGGTCAGAGTATTTTATTCTTGCCACTCAAATTATAATGAGAAAAGAGGCATGAAACTGTATCCCTTCTGAAAATACCCTCTGTTAGACTGAAATTGATGTCTAAGCACCAAACTAGCTTGACGTGGATTGTGTTGCTGCTAGGTGCCTTACCAATTTGCCAGAGTCATTTGTTGACTCTTGTAATCCATCAGGATAAGCATAAATTGATACACCAAGAATTATTCATCAAGGCAACACTTGGGAAAGGGAGTAATTTCTTAATGGAATGATTTAGAAGTTGAATATAATTTTAACTTTTGGAGTTAATTCCTGGGAAAATTTTCTCTTTCCTTTTACAATAGAGGAAATTTAAGGAAGTTGATATTTGGCACTCACCCATTAAGTTTTCTCATTTCTTAATAGGTTTTTGTGACTCTATACTTAGTATGCATACAATTTCTGTTGTGATTGTATGTTCCTGTATTTGTTCTAGAATGTAAATATATACACATTTCACACTATCCATAAACTTCAGTGAACGCATAATGCATTTGGTTTAATTTCATTTGCATTGTTACTAACTGTCATTTGAATGTAATAATAACAGTAATATATAAAAAAAAATTAACTGGATAACATTTTATTCACTGTAGTCCATTGATTCTTTTGCAGGAGTTTCTTCTTCAGGTGCTGCTGTTTTGGATAGTCAAGGATATGAAGCTGTTCTGACAGTAGAAGCTAGTGATGAACCACACGGAGTCTTGAATTTTGCTTCCCCCTCCAGGGCAGTTTTAATTCCAGAGGAAAATAAAACAGTTCAGCTTTTTCTTAACAGAGAATTTGGATCTCTAGGTTTGTATAATAACGCCAAGAGAAAGGAAGTTTTGTTTTGGTAATCAATGAAAGCCATGACAGGGAGGCTGGAAATTTTGAAAGATCTTGGGTACAGTTGATATTTTCAGAACTTCTAGGCTTCTTAGTGCATGTTTGGAAACTAAGTTTTAGTTAAAACTGGAGCTATCACCCCCATTTCCACAGCAAGGAGTCTGGGAGCTGTGGTGTAACTAGTTGGGTAATGAGGTACATTAGCTACTAGTTACCCTAATGGGTTACTACTTTTATGTCTAATAAATCTGTTTCAAAGTGTTAGTCTATCCAGAAGAAATAAAAAACATAGGAGAAAAGGAGCTTGTATGGAGTGATTGTTCCCACATATTTCCCCTCTAAACTTTGAGAAGTTGGCAGCTTATGAATGTCCCATGGAAAAAGCTGCATTAAGACCACTGAATTCAGTTTATGTCTCCTCCGAGAATTTCTTATTCCTTTTTAAATCAATTTGTCCTTTAACATCCATAAAATTAAGTTGTACTTAAATCCAGGTTTCAGTAATGTGCTGTGTGCAAAAAATATTTTGTTGTCTTTGTTGCCTGAGGATTTCAACTTATATTGTGAGATAACATGTAATCATTTCCTATTTACCTTTTTAGACTATATTTAGACCTCAGCAATAACCAGTCTTAGTTTCTTTTGTTATATCTGTTTTGAAATGAAGTGACCAGTTACAACAAATATTCAAAATCTGGACATACCACACATTCGTAGAGGCATTTTAATGACATTTCTATGTTTTCCCATTTCTTTTTTAATATCAATCAGTATCTAATTTACTTTTGGAACACTACTCAGGAAACTAATGCTTTAAAAAAATTAGCCATAGTAAATGTAAGATCTCTTACTTTAAAATTAAAGTCCATCATTATTTATTAAAACTAGGATTCTTTTATAATTCATACTTTATTTCATGCAGACTAGCACATGTCATTTTATCTCCAGGATCGCTCTCTTTACATTTGCCACTTGACTTACCCTGGCAGATTAGTGAGACGTGGCTTTATTATAAAAAAAATATGCCTAACTTTTCCCCTTGGTAACTTTTATCAGTGTGTCCCCTAATTTTATTCTTTATTGAAGTCTATGCCAACGTGTGTGGGAAGGAAAATAGATTTATTAAGCTGTATTTCTCAGCCTTTAGAACCTTTCTTAGATATCAGTCATTCCTGAAATATTCTACTACCCTCGGCACCAAACCTGGTATTAATAATAAATTAGATGAGCCAGGTAGTACTTCAGCAGTGCAATATTTGCGGTCCACAGCACCTCAAATATCTGAATACATTTGGTCCTAATGCTTTTTGAGTCCTCTGATGTTGGACAAATCACCAAAGGCTGGACTGAAACATTAAAAACAATAACAAAGTTGCATTGGCTCCAGATTAATCTTTTAATCCTTCTGTTTTGCAGTTAGTCTTTTCATTTTCTGGATGAGCATTCGATCTCTTTTATTTATCTATTCCAATGAGCATTACATAAGAATTGAAAAAAATTACTTTTTTGTCAAATTAAACAGGTGTTATCAATGTTACGTATGCCACAGTTCCAGGATTGCCCACCTTAAGTAATCAGACAGAAGGGACCTTGGCTGAACCAGGAGCAGATTATATAGCTGTTTCTGGCTCACTGATTTTGGAAGAAGGAGAAACAACAGCTGCCATAAATATTACTATTTTAGAGGTAAACTCTAAACCCTTTTGTTCTATACTGATCTGTATGACATCAGAAGAGGACCCTAAAGCTTGTAACCTATATATTACTTGAAGCTATATATTTCATTGTCATTGAGAAAGATGGTTTTTATCTTAATGTTAAAATCACAGGAGGACAAATAATAACAGAAAGCAGCTCTACCTATGCCTAAATGAAATTTAGCTGTCTCATTAAGACTTTACTATCTGGTATTCAGAACAGTGTAATCCATTGCTTGCTACAGGCTCTTACTTTCTCAGTGGTTGGTGTTTATACCTTTAAAATTGGCAGAAATTTTTTCACAAGAATAGTTTAGTGTCGTCACAGAGTCTTTTTCATGAAATATAATATCTTACTTCATAATTCATTCAAGATAATCAATTTTACACCCAATAAAAGTATTTCAGGAAAATGGAAAAATAAGTTATTTCTAGTGTTGCTATAATATTAGAGAATTCTAGTGTGCTGCTTTTTTGTGAATTCTGTGACAGTTTCTTAAAGGAAAATGAAAAGAGGATGAAAAGAATTTGTGTTTTACAGGATGATGTACCAGAGGTGCAAGAATTCTTCTTGGTTAATTTAACTTCAGTGGAACTCATCATGAACCATTCAACTTCATCCCCACCTAGGCTGGGTAAAACAACTTTTGCAGAATTATCTTTGGGTTTCCTTTTATATGAATTGCATGCGGATTATATTACTCTGGCATATTATCGTTATTCCACTTACTTGCTAACTATGCCAATATGAGACAGAGTATTCTGAAAGAAACATTGTAGAATATCAAACATATTCATTATTACACTTGCTTCTTTTTTAGGCTCTGTAAAAATTACAAGGCAATTTTCATAGAGGAGTTAGTAATTAACAGTTTGAGAGCACAATTATTTGAACAGTTTTATCGGCAGTGCCTTAATATGATTTTCATTTACAAAGTTCATAATGGAAACAAAAATGTAAAAAAAAAATTACTTTATGTGATTACTTTGTTCACTCTTTTAAAACTCTCTTTTCATTATTCTTTATCAGATTTACTTTTAGGAGTCAAGTTCTATGGTTTTCCTACTCTTCCAACGAGCTTCATTTATCATTTGCTTAGTTAACTCCTCATTCTGCTTCTGAATTCAGTAGCGTAGCTGCCATTGGCTTTAAGGGCAGTTGGATTATCCTGTGGTACTAAAGACTAGTTATATTGATTATTTCTAAAATCTTCTTTGACTCTTTTCCCTTTTCTTTGCATGCCTATAGAAGTGACTGAGTTAATTCGTTACAGATTGAAAGGTAACATACAAGACTCATTGCTGATTTGTAGAGACTGAGCTGTGACTAGTTGAGTCTAAAATCTAAAGCATAAAAAGAGTAACATATGAGGACAAAGGATTCTTCTGAACCAAATTGTGCTGAGTGTTCTATAGTCTCAACTTTTGTTGTAAGTTGTTGGCAGTCTCCTTGAGTCGTGACCATTGAACCCTGCTGTGATATCTGCATTGTTTTAAACGTGCTTAGGCTGAACAGATAATAGTTTTAACCCATGAGGCAAAAATTTGTCCTCACTGTAAAATCTCACTACAAATTCTGTTATCAGACTATTTTCTAATCTTGTTTTCCCTGTTGTTGTTGTTCCCTGTGTTTTGATTTGTTATGATTGATAATTTAAATCCTTGTTGGTGCAATGCATTTGTTTAGGATTTCTAGCAATCCCATACCCTATACAAGATATTTGAAGTATTTCTAGGACGTGTCTAATATCAAGAGAGATGGGTGTTCTGCACATGATACAGGCATATGCAATCCTACACATCCGGAATATATTGTATATGCTGTTCCTGTCACGGCCATGTGCGTGCAGTATGTGGAGTAAGTCTGGTATGTCTGTGATGCAGAGTTGAACACACTGAACTTAATTTCTGATCTGAGGCTTCACTGATAAGGAGCAGAAACAGCAAGCATAAAGACAGTTCTGTTGTCTTCTCCATGTTGCTCCCATCTTCTAGAGGAGATGGAAGAAAGAGCCTGACTCAAATACAAAAGCACAAGGAATTAGAAAAAGGGAAAATGATCAACAGCTGAGACTGATGAAAGAAAAAGAAATAAACTTAATGGACACAAGAAAGAGCTAAGTAGATCCTGGGTGAACTGATCTGACCATGACACGACAAGGGAAAATGCGGGTTAGGAGTGAAGCTGAAAGGTCGGTAACGCTAGCACTCCCTCTAAACCTCAATAACATTTCTGCTGTTTGTGTAGAGGTTTTGCAGGTACTGCTGATCTTCATTGCTACCTCATAGTGACAGGTTTGGATTCATAGCAATGACCTTTTACTTTTGTTCAGTATTATCTGAATTGATAGAAATCTTTCCTATGTATCTAAATATAGTATATTTACTACAGATTCAGTGGAGTCAGTTTGGTTGTAGAAACTGTCATTCTTTTCTTCATTTCTTTTTAAGTTTTTTTAAAAGTAAGTTGAAGTACATGAAGGTAGTCATGTGGTTCTGTTGTCTGAACAAATTAAGGCACTGTTTTCTCAGAAGAATCAAATACTGACTGTCAAGTTCTGGTCCCTGAAATTAGTGGACATTTCTGGCATTAATCTATCATTCAGTATTTTCACAGTGCAATACATACAATAATCTTTCAGAGTTATTGTGAAGATACATATGTCTTTATGGAGCAGTAGAATGTTACAGTACATAAACAGCCTCCAAAGCAATTAATAATTCCGTGTTTGTAGCAGAATCTGAGTGTGTGCAAGTAAGGTTTATGATCAGGCACTGAAACATGAATAGGAGATGAAATACTGGATCATTTATTATTCTTTCTTACTCATTTTCCCTCCCATATTCAGAATGGCACAGTCTGAAAATGTTGAATGTCATCATAATAAACACACACAACGAAGATAAATTAAGATTCCATGACAAATCCTGCTTTTGGTATTTCCTAATTTTTCTGTGCTGTGTTTTGCTTTCTGAATTTTCTTTAGTCTTTTTTGTATGCATTATTTAATGTAAGAGTGGTAATCCAAGGCACTGTGTTGCAGTTTTAATAGTAAGGTAGCAAAGACAGGTTTTCTTTGAGCCTTTCCAATTATCTTGACCCCTACCACTTTCTCCTCCACATTTTGGAAACAGAAATTATGTATTTCTTCTACAAAATTAGTAGAGATTTAAGAAATACTTCTATTATTCTTGAAAATCATGAAAATGGACTTTATTGTTCTTTCATTTTTGTCCTTCTGTTTTCCATTTTAGATGTGGAAGGTTTAGCTTCTCAAATTATTATTGATTCTAATGATGGAGTAAGCGGAGTAATTGAATGGGAAAGTACCAAGTAAGTCTTGTCTCCCTGAAGAACTCACTGTGTCAGTTAGTGGTTGGGGTTGCCCAATTATTTTCATTTTCAGTTAACAGTAAAACTGCTATTAAAAACAGGGCCAGATCTTTGAGATGGCAAAGCATCATGTAAGATAATTCCCACACTGAAACCCAACATTTACAGTATGTTTACTCAGAAATCTTTTGCTGCTATATACTTAATTTCGCTGCTGTCCTTTTATAATGTGACTTTGCATCACTCCCCCAGCCTCCATCCAGTGTTCCAGCCTCTGCATCCATGTAAGCATACAAACTGGCATCTCCTAGATCTTTTTCTCTGACTAATTTCCAGGACATAGGAAGAAGGCATGCATGAACATAGACAGGCTTAATCTGCCACTAATAAACAGGGAAAAAAGGACAACCTCCTATAGCTTAATTCCACTTAGATAAGAAACAAAAGTAAAAAAGTTGTATTAGACAATTGTAATGATGCTGATACTGTAATGATACCTTTTTTGTATAAAGCAGAGGGAATCATTTGAAGTGAAAATCTAACAACTATCTACCATCTTATTCAAAAGAACATGCTCAGTAAGCACTGAGAATTTTTCTTGCATTTTGTTTTAGTTTTGAAGTTAATGAATCTCACTGGAATCTGACAATAATGGCATACCGAAACAGAGGATCATATGGCAATGTGTCTGTATTTTTTTACGCTCAAAATTTGGAAGCACAGCTGGGTTTGGATTTTAATGTGACCTCAAGGGTAAGAAGCAAATTCTAACTCTAGTACTTGTCATTCCTTCAGCTTCCTCAAAAGAATGTCTTTTTGTTTGTTATGCAGAATGATCAGTAGCGCAGCTAGATTTTTTCAACTTGTTTCTATTGCTTTGGTCATCTGAATAGAATGAGATAAAATTAGTTATTTTATTTTACTGTTTCTTTCTTTTTAAATACTGAAGTATTTTTAAAGATAAGACACATTGCAAACTTTCAAACATCTATCTCAAATACAATTTTGCTTAGACAAGAGCATGTAAGGTTTCATATTTTTACAAGAGAACTTTCAAAATAAATTGCTCTTGCTTGTCCTCATTCTGCAATGTGCTGAGCTTTTTTACTTCTGCTTCAATCAAATTATAAGGGACATAGAGATTATAGCTATTCTTGCCTCCTCTTCCTTCCTATTTAAGCCAATTCTGTTTACCTTAGTTGAAAAATTCTGTGTTTTAACAGCTGTTAACTATTCAAAGCTTTCTGTGTTTCAATGCTAGACTCTTTTTTTTGCTGATGGAGAAAGGAATAAGTCTGTTGTTGTTATGATTTTTGATGATGATATTCCTGAAGGTGATGAGAAGTTCCAGTTAATTTTGACAAATCCCTCTCTGGGGCTGGAATTAGGGGAGAACACAACAGGTAAAACTTAGTTTTGATGTTCTCATTCTTTGGAATTGTATGGCAATCATTTTAATTTCATTCCTCTGAATAATCATATTTAAGAAAACACCATTGCCCTGCTGTGATAGATCTTTATACTCCTTTGGAAAGTTCTTAAACATTCCTATGAAATCTATGGAACTAACAAGATAATATGTAAAATAAGGAATCAAAAAGTATGAAAGTGAGCTTTTTCATAGGAGAGTCTAGATTCTTCCTGTCTAGAAATCTTCCTAGATAAAGTGAAATACTTACATATTCTCTTCAAGTAATATCATGGATATAAAAGCATTATATATACACTAAAGGAAGAATGGATTTGTGTTTATATGTATTTTATTTGTAGATATGTACAATTATATTTTACTATGTTAATTAAAGAATATTTCCATTATTTATTTCTCAAAAGCCACAATTACTATACTTGCCAATGATGATGGCCATGGAGTTTTGTCATTCAATAACAGCGATCACTTCTTCCTAAGAGAACAAACAGCTCTCCATTTGATGGAAAGTGTTGCAGTATTAAATATCATTAGAGAACCTCCTCAGGGGATATATGGCACTGTGACTGTTCAGTATCTTGTAAGTGAAATTAATTCTTCAGAGGCATCAGTGGATTTGACCCCTTCTCAAGGATATGTTGTGCTGGAAGAGGGAGTCAGATTCAAGGTAATGTGATAGTTACTACCACAGAAGTGAAGAAAGCTTTTTTTGAAACTGTTGGAAAGATTTCAGAAATGTCTGTGTTTTTTCTTGTATTTATTTTTGTCTTATGTTTTCCTTCATTCTCAGAGCAAATTGAGTCGTGGGAGTGCATAAAAATTAAATGTGCTCTTCTGTAGACATTACTCTCTTTGTAATAGTTGAGGTAAATTGAAAACAGTATAATGGGTATAGCATGTTTATGTATGCATAAGAACATGTCTTTGTATGTATTCAGCATGTAGCTGAAACACAAACTTTGAAATGAAGTGATAATTTATAAGCATAAATAGTTAAGGTTGACTTAAAAACCCTATTCTGTAATGTGATACTTCAGCTGGTCTGAACTGAACAGAGAATGCTGCAACAAATGCAAAAAGTGAACAGCTCTCAGAGTCTTAGGAATAGAAAATGACTTATTCTTCTGGGATTATTAAGTTTACTACCTCTATACTGTCCCCACAAGAATGTCAGCTAGAAGATGAGCTAGCTTAAGTCTGTGAAATCCTGACCCTTCTGAAGTTTAATGACAGTTTGATTTTTTTTTTTTTTTTAATTTTATTTTTTGTCAGTGAAGCTAAGGTCAGTAACAGGTTAGTACATTATGGCTAGTGGGGTAGAACCTGAAACAAACCTTTCTGGAAACGCTGGTTTTCAATTTCTGAACCTTAAATGCATTTGGAACCGCAATGCTGGCCAGTATAGCAGATCTGTGGGAAGTCAAGACTTCTTAAAACAGTCTCTGAATATGGTTTATTGCAGAAGTAGATGGGAATCTGAAAGGTTGTAAGCTCCAGTTTAGTTCCAGATCCATCATTACTAACTTTTTTTTCGCTAACAAAGCTATGTGTACCTCTGTAACTTTTGCCTGTTTGGGTAGTAGGAAGGATGACAGTGAGCCCCAAATGATAGTGAAGACACCTACCTCCTTCCAGATAGTTCTCTACTAATTTGAGACCACCTTGAGAGGATTCTATTCTTATCCACAGTGGCGCAGTAGAGGGAAAGAAGCATCAAGAAGAGAGAGAGTATTTCAAATATCCCTCTATTCTTGCCTTTTTTCCTTCTTTCTTCCCAGCACCAGTAGTGGAATTACCCTATTGTCCTGGAGCTAGTTTAGTTGCCAACTAAAGTAAATTAAAACCAACTTGACTAAACTGTATTAGGGGATCAGGTAGCTATACAGGAACTACAAGGAATTTCCAAGGAACGTGTGGAATGAGTAGAGAACCAAAGTGTGAAAAAAGGATCAAAAACTATTACATTTCAGAGGGTCTTAGGATGAGAGGAGAAAAAAGGAGAAGGAAAAAAAAAAGTGGATATGCTCATCTTAGTGTTACACCAATGGGGATCACCAGATGGATGACTTTAGAACCTCAGCCTGAACCATCCTTGCCTCACTTCTGTCCTTTCCAGTTTCAAGAGCTGCTATTCTCCTGCCGTGCTATCCAAAGGTGTACAGTGAAAGAATAGAAACAGTAGCATGGTCTGATAGGGTTGTGTCATCATTAGCTGTCAAGTCTCAACAACTTTCTGTGCTTGTTTTCTTGTCAGACACTGCATATTTCTGCGATATTGGATGAAGAACCAGAAATGGATGAGCACTTTATTGTCACCTTGTTCAGTCCAACTGGAGGAGCCAGACTAGGCACAAGAGTGCAAACTATGATTACAGTATTACAGAACCAGGCTCCACTAGGGCTTTTCAGCATCTATCCAGTTACAAATAGGTACTAAACAATGATTCAGTTAAAAGGAGATTTTTCGTATTCAGTAGAGATGGTATCTCTCTACAATTTTGTTTTTGATGAATCCCTTTAAAGAAATTCAGCAATCCAATTGTAAAACATTTGTAATTTTTAAAAGTACACTACCTGTCAAATACTATTACTGCTACACAAAAGAACAGAAAAACACTTAAAATGGACTATTCATCATTAGAAATGTCAATTTCTCTATGGATTTTTTCATAAAACAGTACTTCATTAGTCCCTAAACATTCCACTAATAGTAATCCATGTTAAGAGCTCCAAACCTCAGATCAGTGCCCAGGGAGTCATACATTTTATAATTTATTTTTGTTTTTAAGCTTGTGTAAAATACACTTTCACTCAGGGCTGTTTTTCAGAAGCAAATGAACTATATGGAATGACATTTTCAAAAATCATTCAGCTTAAACCGTACAGCTGGTGTGCTAAATTTCAGGCTGGTTTAAGATTTTGTTGAATTTTCTGTGATTTTGCCAGGGTCTTGTAGTAAGAAACATTGGACAACCTTAATTAATGTAGTTATCAGTCTGTCAGATAGCAAAACCAGTTATTAATATTTTCTTTTTACTTCTGTTGTATATTCTGCACTGGCATTGTAATGTAAGAATCTTATTCGTATACTATAAAAATAATACATTTTTTTCTTTATTTTCACAATTCTTACATTTAGGACAAATTTCCTCATAATTGAAGAAGCCAACACTACAGTTTATTTGAAAGTTTCACGGAGTAATGGGCTCAACGGGTCTGTGAGTGTTGAGTGGGAGACATTGTCGGATACTGCATTTGGCATCAGTATGTTCACTTTCTCTGGAGTGTCCACTGCTTTTGTCAGAGTGGAGATAGCAAGAGACTAGCCAAACATACAAGAGATATAACTTTGGAATGTAAATTCAAGTATTCAGACTTGATCACATTAATTAATATTTTTCTGAGCATGTCAAAATTCATTGAAGAGCTTAGCTGCTTAGGTGTCAGCTTGTCACCAGCCACTTCTGCCAGAGTTTCAGTAATGTATATTGCCCTCCTTACTGCTTATATGAACGTTATTGTCACTAGACTTTTGTTTAATAAAATCTGTTCTTTACTACTTGTAACTTTGGATTTTTCTAACAAGAGTATGAGACACACTTTACAAAAACCTGACATAGCCTTAGTCTGAAAAAACGCCACCACATGTTTTCTGTCATATCTCCCAGTCTGCCTGCTGAGATGCATTTGTGGGACCCTCAGGCTGTACTTTCATGAACACTTTAATCTGGTCCAAGTTAGCACTGCCATTGAAGGAAACCATCCTTCCATCTCTGCCCACTTGTTCCATTTCTGTGCTAAGCATTTTTTATTCCAGTACTGATATGTGTATAGCTGCTCACTAATCCAGGCTGAAACTAACAAGGCAAAAAAGGAAATGTCTGATTTTGAACATGAATGAGTACCCTGTCTGGCTCAGCAGCTCGTCTAGCCTATGTGTGGGACTGGGAGTTTAGCTCTTGGAGTTTAGTTCTGACAACGCAGTGCTTTTTTCTGTAAGCCAGTCGAGTGGCTTAGGCAGTTTAAGAATCTTAGTGCCATGACTGCTTGTTGTGATGTGGCGGCGAAGGAAGACAAACACATACATTTTGTAGTTTCTTTGTTATTTTTTTCACTACTTTCTATCTAGCTAATTTTCTCACTAGCTAAATTCCAAACTGAATCATTCTGAATCAGACTCAAATTGCCTATGCATCTTCCATATGTAATTGTAATATATGAAGAATACATTTATTGCTTGACTCTCATTACATCCTCAGTACTAAAACAGTTCCATGCATTTACATACACTTATACCAACTATTTAGATACAACTTCAACATTTCTGGTACTAGGTCTGGTTTTGGCAAGTAAATTATGAAAATGGCGTTGAAAAAGACCTCAAGAATGAATAGTATTTTCTTTTGCTATATTGCAGGGGGTAGTATCAGTGTCCTGTCTGTCTTGCAAAGTTTTGTGGAAGAATCAGCATCTAGCTGGTGTTTCTTTACATCAGGAGAAATCCTGTATGGTGTTCTGTTGCGTACGCCTCCAGCTACATTTTCTACTGTTTACCAGTGGAAAGGAGTTTTTGTTCCTGTCGAGGTAAATGTCTGCTTGCAAACACCAAGCGTGCTACTTAATAAAGCATTTAAGTCTCAATTTTACTTTTTTATTCCTCTCTCAGAATTTCAGTATGTGGAATCCTAAGAGCTGTGTGTCTTTCCAAATCCGTGCCTCTCCCTACCTTGTGATTACTCATGGAGCAGCCAGGCAAGGAGCTTCCAACAACAGTGTGTATGCATTCATGCCTGAACGCAGACTGTTGAAGGTAAATCTGTTTTACTTACAAAACCATAAAATAATGGGGTTGGAAAGGACCTCAGGAGGTCCCCCAGTCCAGCCATGTTTTAGAAAAAAGCACTCTGTGCTCAGCTAGTTTGGTGCCCTAACACTCTGCATGACTTCAGTGATGTAAGTTTTTGCAGCTGCTTGTCTACTCTGTTTTTATATTTGTATTTTGGGGGTGGGTGAAAATGACCTGGGAAGTGAGGAAAGAAATTATGGAGCAATCAAGTCATAGAACATTTTCTGAAAAATGTATAATAACGTATATTAATTTTGTAAATTTGCCCTACATATATAGACATATCTTTAAAATTGTAAAATTACATATATGTAATTTTATATGTTTTATGTCTAGTTTTATATGTAATTTTGCAATTTTTAAAAATACTTGTATATATGTATAAACTTGTCACTTGAAGTGACTTCCAAACACCATTTTTGTCATATTTCCTTCACAGATACAGACTCTCTCTATTCTGGATACCAGACATGTGAAACATTTTGCTGTGGATGAAGAAGACTATTTGATTTTTGTGAGTCACACAACCAGTTCCAGTTCCATCCAGGTTAGAATACACTTGTCTTCCCTGGCTTTGATGTGGGTAGTTTGATTAGTTTTGAGTTTGAAATATGAAGGGATAATAAATAACCATAAGTATATATTTCTGAAAAATTACTTGCATTTCTATTACAGGTTTATAAGACTTAAAAGTGTAGACTCGTTTAAATATAGCAATACTCTCTACATTTACCTATCATTTACATATAGTTTGATTTTATTGCTAGTGTTACATCTGTTTTGAAATCTAGCATGTTAAACACCTATAAGAACAGATATAGGTTCTGACCGTAAACCTATTCATCTGAAGAACAGGCACAGATGCTTGCAGTAAGGTAGTTACTTACCAGTGTGCTTCTACCTAATGTAGGGTCCACCTTAGAAATGAGGAATTCAGTTCACTATAAATCTTCCCAGTTTTTCATAATGACACTTAATTTCTTTTCTCTTGGTGCTAATTATGAATATATAATGAACAAAATATTTCATATTTCCACAGGTTTTCCAGTGGAATAAAGATATATTTGTGCTGCATCATCAACTTCCACTTTACAGAGCTCTGAACATAGCCTTGTTTCCTAGAGGAGGCGTTATGTACCTATTAGTTTCTTTGTCAAATACCAGCCAGAACATGCTCTTGTACCAGTGGTTGAATAATGAGTTTAGGAATCTTCATCAATTACCAACAAAAGAAGTAAAACATATGGAGGCCTGGATTTCTGGATCTGATATCTATTTAATTATTGCAAAAGGTATTTAGGGGAAAACAAACACTGAATTTGCTAAGTATATACTGGCTTGTTTGGTAGTAAAGGCATGTGGAGTAAAGGAGTTTAGATAGGGATTAAACTATTACGGGGCAGTGACAATTCACTGATAAGCATTTTATCAAAGTAATCTGTTTTGTCCCTCAGAAAATAAAAGCATGGCGTTTGTTCTCAAATACTTAGGAAACTAATGAAATATTTTCCCAAGAACAACAGGAAATAAGAACTCTATTCATCTAGCTGCTGATTGCACCCTTTTTAAGCTTTTCTGAGCTTTGTGATATGCAAAGATCATTGGTCAGCAAATCATAGAATCAAGAATCATAATAGAATAGTTTGGGTTGGAAGGGACCTTTAAAGGTCATCTAGTCCACCCCCCCTGCAATGAGTAAGGACATCTTCAACTAGATCAGGTTGCTCAGAGCCCCATCCAGCCTGTCCTTGAATGTTTCCAAGGATGGGGCATCTACCACCTCTCTGGGCAACCCGTTCCAGTGTTTCACCACCCTCATTGTAAAAAATTTCTTCCTTATATCTAGTCTGAATCTACCCTCTTTTAGTTTAAAACCATTACCCCTTGTCCTATCGCAACAGGCCCTGCTAAAAAGTTTGTCCCCATCTTTCTTATAAGTACTTCTTTAAGTACTGGAAGGCTACAATAAGGTCTCCTTGGAGCCTTCTCTTCTCCAGGCTGAACAACCCCAGCTCTCTCAGCCTTTCCTCACAGCAGCATGTGTTCCATCCCTCAGATCATTTTTGGGACCCTCCTCCGGGCCCGCTCCAACAGGTCCATGTCCTTCCTGTACTGAGGACTCCCAGAGCTGGACGCAGTACTACAGGTGGGGTCTCCCCAGAGCAGAGTAGAGGGGCAGAATCACCTCCCTAGACCTGTTGGCCGTGCTTCTTTTGATGCAGCCCAGGATACGGTTGGCTTTCTGGGCTGCGAGTGCACATTGCCGGCTCATGTCCAGCTTTTCATACCCGAGTACCCCAAGTGCTTCTCGGCAGGGCTGCTCTCAATCCCTTCATCCCCCAGCCTGTACTGATACCAGGGATTGCCCCGACCCAGGTGCAGGACCCTGCACTTGTCCTTGTTGAACTTCATGATGTTCACACAGGCCCACCTCTCCGGCCTGTCCAGGTCCCTCTGGATGGGAACTGTACACAAAGTACATGTGTTTCTTATTACAAGTATGACATTTCAGGCATTGTTGTATGACTGCATCCCTATGGCTACTGAAAAGTTTATGTTGCAGTACATAGGTTTCTTTGTAATTGGCTGTTGTCTACTGGCAATCTTAATGTTCTTATATGTGAATGTGTGCAGAAAAGCTCTTAAATGATGTCAGTGAATGAATCATCCCATGGAGATCAGTCATACTACGGAGTTATGCACCAAGTAAAAAGGAAAATATGATACTTGGTCTCACTTCATAATTAAAGCTGCCAAACTCTGCCTTTTGAATGGCCACCAGTGTGTGATTTAACTAACAGGCAGCAAAATAATGTAAGTTTTGTAATTTTGCTCCTTTGTAGAATCTGGAAATTCTTCCGAAATTTTCATCTGGGAGACAGGGCAGTCTACCTTTAGACACTTTCAGTCTCTTCCAGTCTGCGCTCTAAGAAACATCCATGTTTTCATGCCTCCTTCAGGTTTAGGTAAGATTTAAATGACAATATTTATTCAAATCCTAGTTTGTAATGCTGGAATTGCAGAAATATATGTGCTCATTTTTTCATATTATTTATCAGACTTTAAAAGTTACTATAATCATTGTGCTACCAAGGGCATTTCTGGCATTACAAGGAGAACTTTTAAATATATCACTGAATATTTCTTTTTTCTCCTCCTTGCTCAATGTAGTTCACATCCTCCTATCTGGTAAGGACACGACAGCACTGTATTCTTGGAACTCAGAAAGCAACCAGTTTTCTGTAATGCTGGAAGCCCCATATGTGGATCATATCACTTCAGCTACTGCAACATCTCTTAACTCCAGCAAGACCTTGATTGCTCTGTCTGTAGAGCCCAACTGCCAGATTTATGAGCTGACCACTATCTCCAACCAGTCAGATTTTATACCTAGGTAGTTTGTTTTTTGTTTTATATAACTTTCTCCCAGCTCTTGCATTTCTTTTTCTGTGATACTGTTTTTGTTACAGTGGAGAGCGTTATATACTTCTGTGTGTGATGTGCTTATTAACACTAAGGAGAAATTTTCACAGGTAGGTTTAAGGTAACCTGAAGTCAAACAGTCTCACAACTGGCTTTAAAACATGGCAAGAAAGCGCTTGCAGTTATGACTTGATTTTTGTAACGTTTTTATTTAGGATAAATTAAATTACTTTAATAATTAATTTCAGTTACTCTATGATCTATTGTAATTTAAAAAAACAAAAATCAAAAAACCAAAAACCAACACAAAACCCACAACCTTTAAACCTCGGTTACTTCCTCAGGAATATAAGCAATAATTCCAACTCCAAAAATGCTCGTTAAATTTACAGCAGTGCTTTCAACGTTCCATTAACGTTCCTGAGCTATCCTCAGTTTATAATTATTTGATGTGTGTGTTTTTATGCTAGTTCAGGTGAATTGATATTTGAGCCTGGGGACAGGGAAGCTGTGATAGCAGTCAATATCCTGGATGACATCATACCAGAGGAGGAAGAATGCTTCAAAGTGTTGTTGAAAAACCCTAAGGGAGGTGCAGAGATTGGTGTTCATGGTTTTGTTAACATAATTATTCCTTCCAATGACAATGCCTACGGAGTCATTGCATTTGCTCAGGTAAAACTTCTAAGGTAAATCATTAAAATATGTATAAATAATTTCTGAATACTGTAACACAAACATGCTAAAACTATAAACTGGAGCATGTGACAGGATTGTTTTTCTAAAGTCTTGTAGCAACCTGAGTAAGAAGCTTTTTAACAGCCATTTAGCATTGCTATGTGATTATGTAGAACAAAAGGTGATAAATCAGTTCCACTGTCTGTCCCTATTGTGAGATTTTTATAATCCCCTTACATTTAGATGAACACATTAAATAATCAGCTTGGTTTTGCAACAACCTAAAAATTCAATTTTCAGGTGACATATATGATATCATCATAGAGTCGCTACTGGTTGGTTAATCAAGTAAACAAGTCTAAAGATCCTTTTCCACTGAAAAAGATACTAATTGTGTTATGTCACAAGATGACCCAGTCTGCCAGAACAAAATAATTTCTTTGGAAAAAATGTCAGACTGAAGGTATTATTTGGATTGGTTAATTCTTAAATCATCAAACGCTGTAGAAGTTATCTAGACAGGTATATAGTAAATGCATTCTGAAGGTATAAAACACAGAAGAGTCATTACTGAAATGAAACATTGGATCTGGACTTGTGTGAGGAGGCTGAATAAAAGTAAAGTAACAGCAGTCAAAATATGTTTGTCTTGAAGGTCCACTTGTTATCTGCTTCATACAATTTGGACATAAAATACTGTGCTTAAAAAAAAAACAAACAAAAAACCCAAACACAAGCCATTGGGTTTTTTGCCTTAGGATAAAGAGGCCTGACATTTTAAATTCTTACCTTCATGAAACCTGGGAGTATTGGGTACCTCTGAAAACTAGGGCATATAAATTTAATCAATGAACATGTATTTAGCTACTTAATAGTAGATTAACTTACTGATGCCCAATGTCACTGGCCCCCATTGAATACCCAGATCCCTAAAGAAACTTTTCTTTATAAGAAAATAATGTTATGGTTCTGCTACTTTATGTTTTCCAGAGTTCTTTATTTAAGCAAGTTGAAGAAATGGAACAGGACAACTTAATCACCTTGAATATTGAACGTTTAATAGGAACATATGGACGAGTTACAGTAGCGTGGATTGCTAATGGGAGCATAAGTGATGTATTTCCAGCTTCAGGAATGGTAGGTAATAACATCACTGATATTAAGGAAGCACTGACTGTATTGTCTCGGACAACAGGTGCAGATGTACTGGGGGAGAAGGATAGTACATGTTAGATTGCCCCACTCTTCTGTTAATTCCTGCTTCCTGATTCTTTCCTGTGATTGTGGCAGTTTGCACTTCTGTCTGGCAAGTGATACCACAGCATCACTCTCGCTCTTCTAGAACGAGAGATTACAAAGCTGTCCAGGCACTAGAAATGAGTATCTGTAGTATCCTGTTGCCATCTTCCTTTCTTCCTGCTGAGATCCAGCTACTGTGTCAAATCATTTGCATAGGTGGGTATCTGTGAGTGTTTGCTCTTTATCCTGACCTTGTCAATATAACTGAGAGCTTCAGTGGCCCAGGAGAATATCACAAGTCCCAGTTTTCTCTGTTTCTGAGACTGTTTAGATTTCCAGCCATGTTAAAATCCCGTGTTTCCTGCTAGCCAAAGCTCTTGGTATGCCTTAGGACCGACACACGCCAGGTTCTTTAAGTCAAGGGCCTCCACCTCGTGGCCGTCTGTAGAAGGCACAAAGCTCTATGGGCTTTGAGGCTGTAGAGCTGTAGCACAAGCCACAGCTGAGGGAAGAAAGGGCCAAAAGACTGTAGAAAAAACTTTACACCTGGAAATAATAAGTCTGAAGCAAGATCAATGGAGGGGAAATCAAGGACGCCAAAACAATAATTCTGAAATTATTAAAGTACTCCTTGAGCATTCCAGATGGATGCTACATGATTTCCCTGCATACATTTGCAGGTAGGAAAAGACAGAAAGGTAAAGTAAAGGTATAATGTTGTTCACTGGAAATTTCTGTTTATCCTTCAGTGTAGGTGTAGCCTAAGTGTTTATAGACGTGTCTTTCTTGTTGAGAGAGACCTAAGCAAGTGGCTAGACCTTTAAATTTAAAAATAGGAAGAATATAGATAGACAAAGCATTTCTCAAGAATTTTATCTGGAAAAAAAAATTTAACAAGACTGTTGACTAGACATTTATTCAATTAGCAGGGATTTTGATATATATTATATGTTCATAATATTTTTGACATATTTATATGTGATGGGTTGGCCTTGGCTGGCAGCCAAACCCCCACTCAGTTGCTCTCTTAGTCCCCCTCCTCAGCAGGACAGGGGAGAAAATAAGGTAGAAAAGCTTAAGAGAAAGGCAGTTTAATATGAAAAGCAAAAGCCATGCATGGAAGCAAAGCAAAAAGTGGAATTTTTTTGTAATACATATCTCAGTTAGTGATTGCCTTGGCCGCAGTGATCACAATATTGTGGAGTTTGGGATCCTGCTGAGCATGCTGAAGGTTAGTACTAAGACAAAGGTTTTAGATTGCAGAAGAGCAAACTTCAGCTTGCTCAGAGCTCAGTTGGGAGGGATTCCATGGGAAGCTTCCATGGAGGACAAAGGAGCTAGCGTGTGCTGGGAGTTTTTCAAGAATGCTCTCCTGGAAGCACAAAAACAGTTCAACACCTTTAAAGGTAAGGGAAGTAGGCGGAGCAAGAGACCCCCTTGGCTTAACTGTGAGCTTCTGAGCCTGCTCAAAACCAAAAGAGAAATGTACCAGAGATGGAAAAGCAGACAAATACCCATTAAGAACTACAAGGGCATTGCCAGGGTGTGCAGAGATGCAGTTGTTAGAAAAACAAAAGCTCAGGTTGAATTGAAATTGGCCAGAGATGTCAAAAACTACAAGAAAGG